AATGTGACTTTCAGTCAGATGGGAATTTCTCTTGTGTTTAAATGTTAATCAGTATCGAAGCAAGGAGAAGGCCAACATTTGATGTCTGTTGACTTACCCCCTCTCGTAGAGTCCTGATGACAAGAATGAAGCAATGCCATAAGTTTTGAGCTCTGAATGCATTCAAGTCTGTCTGTGTGTCTCACAGGGGATGACGTGGTTACGGTGAACACACCAGCCTTTGCAGAGTCAGTCACAGAAGGAGATGTCAGGTGGGAGAAAGGTAAGCAGTTGCCTCTTCCCTGAAATCCTTAGCACCATTGCTGCTGCACTGGACAGCCAAGGGATGGATTGTAGTTCACTGCTGACAGCCTGCTCTGTGCCTTTCAGCCTGTGATAAATGAGGCAGTTAATAGCAGTTCTAAAGGGTAAGGATTGCAATTGCTGCCTCAGGACCTCTCTGTCATGGGTGATGTTGGGTGAAGGGTGATGTCTAAACTGGAATCAGACTCTGCAATAGATTGATTGTTTGAGCTAGACTTTTCTTTAGAAGCTGTGGAGAACTGGGGTGAGAAAATTCTGGGTTAGTGGGGGAGACTGCTGTGGGTTAAGATGGGAGGCCAGAGCACACCTCCCTCCTCACAGTGGTCTTCATATCTATCATTCAGCTGTTGGAGACACAGTGGCGGAAGATGAAGTGGTGTGTGAGATTGAAACAGACAAGGTAGGAGTTTTCTGGACCAAAACTTTTTCTAGTTCTGTAGCGGATACCCTGTATGGCTCCTGTCCTGCTAAGAGCTCCTAGAGCCTGCAGGCCTTGACTGTGTCTCCTGCTCCCCTCATATGGAAAAAAGCTTTTGTCATCTAGTATGAAAGCTGGCTGTGCCTTAAGTGAGAATTCTTTGATAACTCTTCCTTCCTCATACATTTGATTAAGCATCAGTGGTGCTGATGTTTGTTTGAGTTGCAATTCCACTCCTCCTTCCAATTTTGGTGCTCTAAACTTTGAAATTTGTTTGTGTTTAAACAGAGGAGAAATCAGCAGAGCCATAGGATGTCTTCAGATTTTTTTAATTTTAGCCTTTAAGTTTACTCACTCCTTAAAGGACTCTTAAACTTTGAAGTTCTTCCTAAAACTCCCTGCCAAGTTCTGTTTTCTGTCAGAAAGATGCTGGCAGCAGGTCAGTTCTTGATTGTACCCTGGAGCAGGAAGATCAGGCTATACGTTACACTGCCAGCATCTCCTAAAGCTTCTAAGTATTGGCACAAAATCCCAGTAGAGGGTGTGAAAACCAGCACAAATGGTGCGAGACAGAGACGCTGTCTGTGCCAAATTACAGTGTGCATGTTGGCATTTTCTCTTGGGCACTTGTTCTCCACCTAATGTTTGGGGGAATTTCAGTGATTTTCCTTTTTGCAGACATCGGTGCAAGTTCCAGCCCCAGCAGCTGGTGTGATTGAAGCCCTTCTGGTACCTGATGGTGGCAAAGTGGAAGGGGGGACACCTCTGTTCAAACTCAGGAAAACTGGAGGTAAGTCAAGCGTTTTTAACTTGCACAGGCCTTCCTGTTTCCACCAATCTTTTTCTGAAGTTGGAAGCAAAGCATTTATAGGGATCCTGAGAGAGGTTAAATCTGCCTCTAACCAGAAGAAAATACTCCTGCTGCCTAACCTATTAGAAAAGCATTTTAGTCAGAAGGACTAATTTTAGTCCTTCTGAGGGGTGAACTTTCCTTTTGCTTCCTGTGGAGGAGACTGCAACTCTAAGCTAAAATTACTTGAGAATTACCCTGATATAACTCCCTTCTCAGCTCTCTTCTCTTTAGCATCCAGTCTCCTGCACAGTGAGGAGATCTAGGGTATCGATGAGTAAAACACTTTTACCACGGAATCCTCTGTGGTGACTCCTATCAGTTCAGTAGGGCTGAGAACATAAAGGCACTCTGCCAGAGGGTTAAATTCTGTCAGGTTGGTTGGACTCAGAGATCCCTGACAGTGGAAGCTGTCGTTGCCCTTACCATGGTTCTTCCTTGTGTTTCACCTGCTCCTGCCAAGGCCAAACCAGCAGCAGCCCCTCCTCCTCCTGCAGCCCCTGAACCTGTAGCTGCTGCTGCTGCTCCCCCCCCTGCTGCAGCACCAATTCCTACTACAATGCCACCAGTGCCGCCTGTGTCAACTCAGCCCATTGACAGCAAACCAGGTGAGGCAACAGCCATTTTTTCCTATTTTCAAGCCTCCCTTCGTTGGGGAGAGTGTGTAAGGTTAAAGGCAGCAAACAGTCTGGCATCTGCGGTGAAGGCCTCTCCACATTTTTGCCCTGCATGCTCCAGAGTGGAGAGCTCAGCTATGCCTGGTACCTGCGCAGCCCAATTCAAGGCTGCTTCCATGCTGTGTTGCTTGAGCAAGGAGCTCAAATGGGCTTTCTACCTCAGGGCGTTGCGATCACGCCCTGGCTTCCCTTTTTGACTGATGTGTTCTTTACCCTCAGTGTCTGCGGTGAAGCCGGCTGCAGCCCCAGCGGCAGCCCCTCCTGGGGAGGCAGTGCCCAGCAAAGGTGCCAGATCAGAGCATAGGGTAAGCTGTGGGAATAGGGGCCTTGCCAGCACTTCTCTTGCTGGGTGACAACTTGTTCTGGCATAAGCCTTGAGCTTTCAGGATGTGTCCATATCTACCTGTTCACACCCAGCTTGGTGGGGCTGTGACAGGTGGGGAAATGCTCTACATGAGGGCACTGCTTAGGGGTGGAGTGGAGGAAGAGCCAGGTCTAACCTGACACAGGTCTTTTCTAGGCAAAAGTACAGGCTGAGTACAGAAGGCTCAGTGTGATCTGCTTGGTCTGTCCACACCCTCAGCGAAGGACTGAGGCTGCTGCACCTGCCTTGTGAGTTCTTAAGAGAACATGGTTGAGCAGCCTGCTTTCTTAGCAGTCTTGCTCTTCTCACATTAGCCTCATGCTGGAAACTGTGTATTGAGTGGGGCAGCTCCACAGTGAAATCAGTTCCTCAGCCTGTTGCGCCCCTTGGGGAGACCTGGAGTGAAAACCTTGGCCCTAGGCATCCATCACTAGTCAACCAGATGACAAGAAGAAAGACCTTTTGGGTTTCTTCTGCGTTTTGCCCCTTGGATGAACTTGAGGCAGCTTCTGCTTATGTCTTTTTAATTCTCAGGTGAAAATGAATAGGATGCGCCAGCGTATCGCTCAGAGGCTGAAAGAGGCTCAGAATACTTGTGCCATGCTGACCACTTTCAATGAGATTGATATGAGGTGAGGAGCAGACCTCTTTTTCCCTTTACAAGTAGGAATAGATACAGGCAGTCATCTTTAAATAGCAGCTGAGACCTTGCTGATTCTCTTTGGAGAGATTGGCAACACATCTTTTGGGACCTCTTTCTTAGGTGTGTACCACCGTCTGCGCAGCTTCATGAGGGCCATGTTGGTGTTGTGGTGTGAGGGGTACATAGCTTCCTAATGGCCTGTTATTCCTCGGGAGTCATCTGCTGCATGTAAAAGGGGCAACCTCATTCCTCACCTGTGTGGTTCTTGGTTGAGGACTGGTAGATGTTGAGCAGAAGAGGAGGAGTGACTAGTGTCACTTGTATAGTGGCTATTAGGGGACAGCAAGATGGAGCATCTGCTTTCTGCCACTCTACCAGGTTACTGCTGTTGGGGGTGAGCATATTTAGCTTCCCATGAGGTGATTCCCCAGGGCTCATCAGCCTTTCAGGTGAGCAGTACATAGGTCTGAGGCCCTTGCTGTCAGATGGTGCAGCTTTCCAGAGACAGGCTAGCATCCTTCCCCATCCCCTCCAGGCAGGTGGGGGTCTCCTGACTCAAGTGCTTGCACAGACTGAGCGCACTAATGGCTTTGGAGGGTGGGCAGCTTATGTTACAGTGCATTAAGGGGAAATTGTGCCCAAATCAAATTGCCTTGTGAAATCCTATTCTGCTCCTTAAGACAAAACATGTAAATATTTGGGTCTCAGAACAATAAGGTTGGCAAAACAGTCTTGATTGGAGGGGAAGTACTGCAGCGTTATCTCCTCTCAGAGGCTCATTGAGGTGTCGCTTTACGCTGGCCTCAGGCTCTCATTGCATCTCATAATCTGGTTTGGATTGATTGCTGTGAGGTTGACTGGTGAGGGCCTGTGCTGGGGCCTCCTGCTTCCCGTGGGGGGTCAGTGTCTGAAAGGAGGAAGCCATAATGAGCCAGTTTCAGAGCAAACCTTGTCCTTATTGCTGCAGTCCTTGTGTCTTGGGAGGCACTAATGTCTTTGGGCGGTAATCCTAGCCCTAAACAAGGTTAGGCACAGGAAAACAAACACTCTAAACCATGGAGACCCCTGCCCCTTGCTGAAACTGTCTCTTCAAAGACTCAAGGTCATCCAAGGGATAGACTGCAATTCCACAGCATCTGGTATTGGCCTGGAATAAGCAGAGCATGTAGCCACAGCTTGGTCAACTTTTTGTAAATGGCCTCAGATAGATAGAAGCAGTGGGGAAACATGATCAGTCTGGTTGAGGGCTGTGGGTGGGCTGACACCCACTACCATAGCACCTGGGAATATTTCTTTCATTTCACCCAATTCCCAAAGCCAAAAAGTTGGGTACAGAGGCGTTGTTGTGATGGCTGGCACAGGACTTGCACAATGGTTGAAGGCATCTTTTCTGCTCTTGGCATTTCCTGTTCTTTCACCCTTGTGGGCTGCAGCCCTTTTCACCCTTTGGCCCAGCCACACCTGGCATTGCTGTCTGCAGTGCCACACTGGTATCAGCAGTGGTGTCTCCAGAGAATCGGTGGCAACATCAGGCCTAAGCAGGAAATATGCCATGCTCCATCGTGCTTTTGTGCTTGGCAGTGTGGGCCAAGCAGGTTAACCCTACCCTGTTGAGTTTGTGGCCCAGGACCAGTTGCTGTTAGATTCTTTGGTGGGGTCCTTAGAGCCACCTTCAGCCCATTTCACCTGTGACATTTGAAGGATTTTTCAGCAGACTGGGGGTTTGCCAGTTGGTGGTGCAGGCTTTTGCAGTCCTTGGGACTGGCACTGAAATCTGTTGTGGAGTGAGGGAGCAGTGTTTTCTTGGAGTCCATGCTGACCAGCATTACCATGTGTTTTGTAGCAACATCCGGGAGATGAGAGCTGTACACAAAGATCCCTTCCTGAAAAAGCACAACCTGAAGCTAGGTTTCATGTCAGCTTTTGTGAAAGCTGCAGCTTTTGCTCTGCAGGACCAGCCCGTTGTGAATGCAGGTGAGTGGTAACCCATGCTGGTGAGTCGCAGATCTCACCAATGAACATGGCAGAGTGGGGGGAAAGCAGGTGGCCAAGTCCATGTCAGGGCTAATAGCTTGGGTAAGCAAGTCAATTATGCAGAAAAAACATAAGTCCTATGTGCTGCAGCCAATTTTGCTAATGCCACTTATGTAGGTAGAGGACAGCTTGCCAAGAAGGGGCTCTATTAAGTTGCCAAGAGCTGGGCTGGGGCCAGCAGCCCGCAGAGGGAAGAGCCTGATGGTTGGTGTACAGGTAGCTGCTGTAGGTGCAATGCAGTTCCTGGGGGGGTGTCAGAGGTGCCTGCTCAAACCCAGAAGAGGAGAATAAGCAAGGGGATGTCTGAGGGGGACTGACCTATCTGGACTGTGTTTAATTTCTGTCCATCCTGGTGCTTCTCCCACAGGTGCAGTGAGGGCTCATTCTTGTCCGGAGTTATGTTTAAGCTAGAGATGAGCAAGTTGTTATGATTCTGTAGCTACTTCTGGCCTCTCGAGCCCTTGATCTTGGGTACTGCATGTGTAACACAGCTTTCTTCTGCTTCTAGTGATTGATGACACGACCAAAGAGATTGTGTACAGGGACTATGTGGACATCAGTGTTGCTGTAGCAACTCCCCGGGTAGGTACCTTGGATGCTTTGGCCATGGTTCCTGCAGCTTCGGGGCTGGGATGATCATATAATTTGAGCCAACTCAGCTTTGAGCTCCTCTGCAGGGGAAACTTACTGATGAGACTGATCTTCTAAATGAGACATCTGATACATTGTGGACTGCTGAGATGGGTTTTGGGAGATGATGGAGGACCAAGAATATTCTGCCACTGTACTAGGAGATGTAGTAACAAGGTCAAAATAGATCTCTGTGGTTAATGAGTAGAGCCAAGTTAGGGAAACCTTTTTTTTAATGGACCCATGAGGATGTGGCATAGACAGTAAAAGCTTTGCATGTCCTGTCCTCTGGCTAATCCTGCTGTGCTGTCCCACCATCTCTGTAAATCACATTGCTGCTTCAAAGAGATGTTTCTGTCCAGGGAAAGTATGGGATGGAGATACAGATGTTGAATTAGTCGGTTCTGTTGTGAGGCAGAGGTTTGGCCAGGACTGAAGTTCCGTCACTGCTCCCAAAGTCCAGGGGAGGTCCAGCATAGAGGGACTCTGCTCTTTTTACCTAGAAAGAGGCGGCATCTGAACTCTGCCCAGTGCCTCACCTGCTTTTATGGATGTGGAGCTGGATCCAGACAGGCTTGGTTGATTTTATGAGATGGACTTACAAAGGCAAAGAAAATGTCTCATTTACAGTGCTGGCCCTTGGTGTGTTGTCATACCAAGTTTCCTGGCATGCTGCCAGGGTGTGAGGCAGCTCTGCCAACCACCTGCTGTGGGCTGAGGAGGAGGTAGGAACTCTGCTGGGCTGAGGCCAGGTTCCTGCCCAATAACAGTTACCTGTGTGTGACTGCAGTGAATTTGCTGATCCTGCACTTTGCTTCTCCCTAGGGTCTTGTGGTCCCTGTCGTTAGGAATGTAGAAAACATGAACTTTGCTGACATAGAGCGTGCTATCTACGAGTTGGGGGAGAAGGTAAGGAAAATTGAAGGTTTTTCTAAAAAGGGTTGGGAGGAATGGGAAGAATGTGGGTGCTGGATAGGCATGAATTGATTTAGTCCCTCCAACACACTGAGTTGTGCTGTGGGGAGTGATCCAGTTACAGCGGTAGCTGTGCCTGTGCCTTACAGGACAGGCCTATCTGCTTGTTGCCCTTCCAGAAGACCGCAATTAGTGACATGGTGTGTGTCTTCACCTTTGTCTTTAGAGGCCAAGGCTGAACTGCCCTGGGGTAGAGGTCCTTGTGTCTGTCTCCTGCAAAAGCCAGAGTTGGAAGCGAAGGCAGGAGAATCCTTCCCTAAAGGCAGTAAATGTTCAGATCTAAAGACAGGATGCATTTTCAAGTAATTTGTGCTCGTTTTCAGTGAAGCTCTTGCCATCAGCATTTATTCCTGGAGAGAGCGAACATCCAAACCCTCATCCTTTGCCTTCTGTGTGATCTGCATGGCTTTCTAAGACCTTATTTTTTCTGCTAGGCACGGAAAAATGAACTGGCCATTGAAGATATGGATGGCGGCACTTTCACAATCAGCAATGGAGGGGTTTTTGGGTCACTGTTTGGGACACCTATCATTAACCCACCCCAGTCTGCCATCTTAGGCATGCATGCCATCTTCGACAGGCCTGTGGCTGTTGGAGGCAAGGTAGGTGCACCTCCTTCCTGCACAGGAGGTTTCAGTGAACAGAGGGGAGGGCTCAGTGGCACGAGGACCATAGCCCATATGCTTTCTCTAGGGGATTGGTGTCACCTTCTAAAAGGCTTTACTGTGAAGGAGGAGCCGAGACTAATGGGTGTAGGGCAGCTTTGCTGGCACTGGTACTTGCCTGAGGTGTGCAGCAGGCCTTGTCCTATCCGTGAGGGGGAGAACTGGATAATCTGCTTAGGTGTGGGGAGGAGGCTGTAGCCTGTGTGATAGAGAACAGCTCCAGAAAGTTACCTAGCCTTGTGTGGCGTGGACCCAGCCTGGGTGAGTGAGTGTGGGTGGGTCATCCTGCTGGCCAGGACACATCTGGGAGAGCTTGAGCCCTGGATTCAGGATAGGAAAAAGCTGGGTCTTCCCTGAATTCACAGGAGGGCTTCATGCAGGCAGTAGGGCTGAGCTCACTAATGCCTGTCTTACTCCTCCCCTTCAGATCGAGGTGCGGCCCATGATGTATGTGGCGCTGACATACGATCACCGGCTGATTGACGGCAGAGAGGCAGTGACTTTCTTGCGCAAGATCAAGGCAGCGGTGGAGGATCCCCGCGTGCTGCTGCTCGACCTGTAGAGCAGCCACACCCCCACACAACCCACCCAGGGCAGGGCCGCAGCACCAGCAGGGGCGATGCAGGGCATTCAGGAACTGGCAGGGGTCATTCCAGTCTCCCTCCCTCCGCTGTGATCAGAGCTGTCCCAGAGGGAACTGGGGATAGCTCCTACCTCCTTTCCTGTTCTGTTTAACGAAGGTTCAGTTTCTCACGAGGATTGCTATGCAGTGGGCCAACCACTGAATGGCACTGCCTTTCCAGAGCCATCTGTATGGCATCCTCTCCCTCACAGCACCAATCTCTCACCTCTAGCTTGTCCTATACCAGTGGAAACTGCTTGCTGCTGCTGTGCTAGGGTACCCTTCCCTGCCACTCCAAGGCAGGTTCAGCTTTATTTCCTAGCACTGAGGTTCCTGGGAGGGAGAGGAGAGGCTACTGTTCTGTCCCTGTTTTGCTTGAAAATATTTCACACTCATCTGCCTTGCAAGGGCAGTCTGGGGACCCCCAGGCTGCTTGCAGCAGAGGTTTTGATCAGAGCAGGGCTTGAGGTAGGCATCGTCCTTCTGGCAGTGCCCTAGTTACACTCCCTCCACAGACAGGAACGCAGCGGTGGCAGCTCTCCTGCTTTCCCTTGGAGATTGTTTGTCTCTCTCCAGCCTGGTCACTGTGGCATGAATGTTCGTGCCCGGGTGGGCAGAGCCTGTGACCTCTGTGGAGGTAGCACTGTTCCTTTCACTATTACATGCCTGACACGGCGGTAAGAACCAGCCCCCAGCAGCTGTCCTGGAATCACGGCACACTGACGGTGGATCCGACTGCTGGCTTCCTGCGTGCGAGGGCTTGGCCTGCTACCAGCAAAGAGACATCTGGGGAGGGCCAGGTCTTTAAGTGTAATGTATATCCCAGCCCAAGGCTGCTGGTTTTGGGGGGAGGGGGGCAGTCCTTAATCCGGTAGCGCACACATGTATTGGGGAGTGAGGGGGTTGCTAGTGCCTGCAGAGTCTATTGCTCTTACCCTCTACACAGAACTTGTAACTAAAATATTTAACACAGCGGATTTTAAATGAAATAAAACTGGGCAACGACTGCAAGGTGGGGTGTGTTTGAGGGGGTGGACAGCAGCTCCTGGGCGAGGACTTGGGCATCAGCAGCATCCCTAGTGTAGCACAAGAAGCCTGTTACCTGATGGTGAGAGAAAAGAGGGAATGGGAGCTAGGCCCGTCCCTGGTGGTACTAAATTGAGGCTTCTCTGGCTGTGAATTCTGCTGTCCTCAAACCGTCTTTGTCACAGAATTGGCTCTTCCCAGCAAAGATGAGGCTTTCAGGGCTGGAAATCATCCTTTCTGTGGTCTAGCAAGAGAACTGTTAGAGACTGCAAGGAAATCCCAGCATTTGCGAAATAAGTGGTGTGATGGCTGGCCAAGAGGGAGAATGGGGACAGGCTCTTAAAGTACAGGTATAGAGCTGGTTTGGTTTTTCCCTGATACAATGGGAGCGTTGTAAGTCATGAAAGTGTGAAAAAGGCTGTTAAGGGTTGCAGAGGGAGAAATAAGGCAAAGTTGAAGAACTGTAAAGCAAAAGCTGTCTGTGGTGCTGAGAGCATTTCCCCAAGGAGCTGTCCCTCTTGGAACAATACGAAATCGTTCCTGGATTGTGGCAGGGGTTTTCCAGCTCTGACATCAACTTCAGAGAATGGTTTGCCCTTCCCGACTACGAGTGAAGAAGGCAGCCCCTTTTAACAGAAAACTATTGCACTCGCAGCTGGCGTGCTGATGAAAGGAAGAGCAGTTCCTAGTACTGGTTCCTTTGGCTTCCTGGCAGCTACGGACAAACCTGCGCATGGAGTCAGCTTTCCTCTGACTGTCCCTGCTTGAGGTAGAAGGTTAGGAGGGGAGAGAGAGGAAAAACCCCTTTCATGTGCTGTAAAGGAAGGGCAAAGAATCGAGCTGCTGTTGCACAAATAAATTGAATGAAAGAGAAGGTTCTGATTTTAAAAATGCTGCTAGTACCCAGTCCCCTGTGCTGGTTTAGGATGCAGAGGGCCCACCTTTGTACATGAGCCTGGGGAAGGGCGATGCCTGTTTTCTGTCTGGAGCTGCAATAAATGAGGCCTTTGAACTACCCAGGGAGTGAATGTAGAGTCCAGCTCTTAAAATTATGCAGCCTAGCAAACTGCTTTATTTCATCTGCCCTCTAGGGCCTTGCTGTAGGAGGGTTGTGCGGCTGCTGTGCCTGAAGCTTCCTTTTTTGACCCTCCTGGGTGATGTCCAGGGTGCTTTGCTGCAAAAAGTCATGCTGTGGCTTCAGGCACAGGCCTAAGTCAGTCCTGCTGACCCTCCCCTGAACCCCAGGACTAGGAGGCTGGCAGCCAAGGGGGGAGCCTGCTGCTGGAAGGTTGAGCCAGTGCAGGCTGCCTGAGAGAAAAGCCTCAGGCTCCCAGCATCTGGCTTGCTCTGGCGTTAGTAGTCAGCTCCTTGGCTAGCCCTCTTGCTTCTGCACAGCCTTTGAGGTGTCCCCTGCCTTTGCTGGGGTGGGAGATGAGTTTCTCCTGGGCTCTCCTTCCCTCTGGTGGACAAGTGCTCCTGCGGCTCCCCAAGAGCTAGGCTGAGTCAGCAAGGAGGCATTGCTGCTGGTGGCAAGCAAGAGCTGGACCCAGCTAGCCACAGAAAAGTTTTACTGGTGCCAGTAATTCCTTACTATTGGGGACAAGTGAGCAATGGGAGAGGACAGTCAAGACTACACCACTGCCAGTGCTAGTGCATCCTTCAGCCGATGGCATTGGCTTGCACAAATGAGCAGAGCAGCTTCTGCCATGGGCTGTTAGCAGACACCTCTTGTTCACGCCTCCTCCGTCCTGGTTTGTAGTTACTCTTGCCCTCCTTCCATCAGTGCTGGTTCTCAAGAGTTCATCCCTTTAAACCCTCACTGTTTGTTTTACTAGGCATGACCATGCTCAAAGCATAGCAACGAGGGCAGCGGGGCTGCTCTCCAGCCAGCAGGACGGA